CTCAAGTTTTTGTTTCTTTTACCAGTTATCATCTCTAGAAGCATAACACCAAAGCTATAAACATCAGATTTAGCTGAGAAGTGTCCGTATGTCTCGTATTCTGGAGCCATATATCCACTGCATTAACCACAAATCACATTAATTGCGATGCTGATGGAAGAATCTTCTGAAAGAAAAACAAAGCATCTATCTGAAACAAAGCATACTTACAATGTTCCAACTACTCTGCTTGTCTGTCCTCGAGTCTGGTCCATGTTGAACAGTCTCGCCATCCCAAAGTCTGCAACTTTAGGGTTCATCTCAGCGTCTAAAAGAATATTGCTTGCCTTCAAATCTCGGTGAATAATCGTCAATTGAGAATCTTCATGCAGATAAAGAAGCCCTCTTGCAACTCCTTCTATGATCCTGTACCTCACATCCCATGTAAGAAGCCAGCGTTTGTCTTCATCTGCAGATCCCAAAGAAAAAGTTTTGTTTTATTTATTTATTTTGATGTTGTTGTTTGCTAAAGGTATTGTAACAAAAATGAAGTGGTTTACCAAATATGAAGTGGTCAAGGCTTGAATTGGGGACAAATTCGTAGACAAGAATCTGTTCATCTCCTTCATTGCAGAAACCAAGAAGCTTAACCAGATTCCTATGTTGGAGTCTTGTCAAGAGTAAGACCTCATTCTTGAACTCCGTATCTCCTTGCCCTAAACCTCTTGTTAATCTCTTTACCGCTATTTTTTGCCCGTTCTGTAATATTCCCTGAAAACCCATTCTAATGCTATAAGATCACTGACCCATGTAAACTTTTTTGATAGGATTCTTACAAGTTTCTTTACCTTGTAGACACATCCAAATCCACCTTCACCAAGCTTCATTTCAGGAGAGAAGTCATGGGTTGCAGTTAGAATCATTCCAAAATCAAACCGTAACATAGAATGACCACCATTTGGATCATAAGACTCTGCACATCACCATGAAACATGTAAATATACATACGAGGCATAGCTCTGGATTTTGAAATGATTGCTTTATTGTTTATCTTGAATCAGATATCATTCTAGGCCTACTTTGACCACGTTATTTAGGTAAACAAACTGAGCTTTGGTATCACGTTAATTTCATGAGTTTCTAATCTAAAATCAATCGAAAGTGAGTTGAACGTCATTTAAACAACTTTACCTTTGGTTCCGGTGTGTGACAACTTTCTCTTCCAAGAATAGATTAAACCAACAAATATGAGGAAATTAATGGTTGCAGGGACCACAATGATTGCAATGTTTCTTCCTTCAAAATCTTTCTCATCTTTCCCACAATGCAGAGTAGTCGGAGAAACTTGAGTAGGAGGAGCAAGAACCCTTGTAACATTATCAAAAGCTTTGTAAAAAGGAAAAAGATCCCACCGGAAATAACAGCTAGGCCGACCAACTCCACCTCCTTGTCTTCCCCAAAACTGCCTTTGAAACTCCGTCACACACTCTCTAAGACATCTCTTGCAATCACTTGGCGATATATCAGGTGTGCATTGCATCAACGCGTAAACATCTGCGATATCTGTGAACTCTGTTCTTGTGGCGCTATAGTACTTGAGGACTGAGGAAGTCTCAGCGGTAGAAGCAGCCTCGAGCGTCCGGTTAACCATTGCCATCCATTCTTGTTTTATACGGGTCATGTTCTCGGATGGACCTATATCGTTTGGGTTAGGGTTGATCGTAAATGGTGAGAGCTCTAGTTTACCGAAAGTCGAGTGATTGGTGTAACGTAGATTGCAAAAAACGTCGTTGGCCTCCTCAGTGACCCACGAGAAAGATTCCTTTTGGTGAGGACAGTTGGCTTTTGTGTCTTCAATGACGTGCTCGAGACATGTCTTACAAGCTTGGTTCTCAAAGCCTCGTCTGCATAAGGCGACAACATGGACTCTGTTGTTTCTGGATTCTCTGCCAAATGATGCGTTGTAGAAACCGCCGTTAGCGACAACGTTAGAGGGAAGAGAAGAGAAGAGATAGTCTCGATTGACGCCGTAGTTTACGGTGAAAAAGTCGCCGTAGCAGATGAAACTGGCGTGAACACATTTTAGGGTTTGAAGTAAGAAAAGGATAAACAAGAGGGAAGTAGTCATAAGACTCATAACCCAACTCCCTCCCATTTACTCAAATTTTCAAATCAATAGGATTGAAAATTTTGAATCTTTAATTTAGAGGAGATTGCTAATTTATAACATTTAATTGAAACTTTATATAGTCTTCTTTTTTCGGTCGGACATTACAAACTGAACATACGTGAGAAATGGGTACTTGTTAGACTTACAAGACTTTGACTTGTCTTTTGCCGATGCTTTGGTCTTCAGCTGTAATTGTTTATTTAATTTAATGACAAATACTCCTAAGCACCTGCTTAAGAGTCCGCGTTGATCATGCTCTTAGAGCATAATCGTTCTTAACCCAAATTCTTAAATATAAAATTATTAAAACACACTCTCTCCTACTTTTACTCAACTTTTTATTTACTCTTTCATCATTTTACTCAACTTTTATTAATTTTATATTTAAACACTCTCTCATCATTTTAAAAACACTCTCCAAAAGTTCTTATTTAAGCACTCTCTCTTCCTTTTACTTAACTTTTATTAATTTTATATTTAAACACACCTACTATCTCCTCTCTTTACTCAAATTTTATATTTCAATACACCCCATAAAAACACTCTCTTTCTTCCTTTTACTCAAATTTTAATAATTTTATATTTTAAAAACTGCTTAAAAACCCACCATTGATCATGCTCTTAGTTGACTAGATTAGATTAGGATCCACAAAACGCAGGTTAAAAAAACAGATGTAGATACTAAAAGTGATAATATACGTAATTATGATTTTTATAAGTACACTCATGAATAAAATCTGGGTTTTATTGTTAAAAACTATTTTTAATAAATTATGATAAAGAAATTCTAGAAATCTCTAGAAAAAATCTCTTTAAATAAATAAAAATAAACTATTACTTAAAATTTAATATACTTGATTTTCTTTTGTTTTGCACAAGACGGACATAGTCTTCCAAGTTAATTATTTTTTTGTTTTCAACAAAGCTAGAAAAATTAAATCACAATGGTTCAGGTATCTAACTTGGTGGTACGGAGTCAACCGAAAGAGTTCGAGCACTGCGTGCCAACTTGTAGGCCTTTGAATTCTCTGCACGAGGAATAATCTTAATGGAAAATGGGTTAAAAAAAAAAACTCTTTTCATAACTTCTTCCAAGTTATTCCTGTTTACAAATTTTGATAGTTATAATTTATGTTACAACAATAAATTTTAATGTATTTGAAAATCTATATATGATATTTAAATTTTTATAAATTTTACTAATTTTCAACTCCAACAAATGGATTTGATTAGTATTTGTAAATATGAGATTTTTCTAGGATTTATGTCTTTATATTTATAATATAGAAATCTTCAAAAACCACTAAAATATGTCGTAAAATTAAATTCATAAGTGAATTTGTAGAATT